TCACCTGCAGATGATACCACTCTGATGGCAGAAAGTGAGGAGGAATTAAAGGACCTCTTAATGAGGGTGAAAGAGGAGAGCGCAAAAATGGTTTGAAGCTCAACATCAAAAAAAACTAAGATCATGGCCACTGGTCCCATCACCTCCTGGCAAATAGAAGGGGAAGATATAGAGAGGGCAGATGGTGACAGCAGCCATGAAATTAAAAGACTCCTGCTTCTTGGGAGGAAAGCGATGACAAACCTAGACAGCATCTTTAAAAGCAGAGACATCACCTTGCCGACAAGGGTCCGCATAATCAAAGGTATGATTTTTCCAGTATGGAAGTGAGAGTCGGACCATAAAGAAGGCTGACTGCTGAAGAATTGATGCTTTTGAACAGCAGTGGAGGAGGCTCTTGAGAGTCCCCCGGACTGCAAAGAGAACAAACCTATCCATTCTAAAGGAAATCAACCCTGAGTGCTCACTGGAAGGACAGATCCTGAAGCTGAGGCTGTAAGAATTTGGCCATCTCATGAGAAGAGAAGACTCCCTGGAAAAGACCCTGATGTTGCGAAAGAGTGAAGGAAAGAGGAGAAAGGGGACGAGAGAGGACGAGGTGGTTGGACAGTGTCATCAAAGTGACCAACGTAAACTTGACCGAACTCTGCGAGGCAATGGAAGACAGGAGGGCCTGGCGTGCTCTGGTCCATGGGTCACGAAGAGTCGGACACGACTTAACGACTAAACAACAAAAGAGCCACCTGTAGTCCCCAATGAGGAGAAAGGCAGCATACAAATAATCTAAAGAAATAAATACAAAACAAACAAGATTTGCGGCTGATTCGGAACCAAGTGATTTGTAAATTTGCTTCAGTGGAGAACTGAATCTGTGAATTCCGCTTTGATCCAACCTCATCAGGCCAATCTGGTTTGCAATTTGGGATCTGTTTAAATCTGGTGCACAGCCCTAAGGGGAAGCGAGGAAGTCGTTTGCGCGCATTAAATGACCCCATTCCTCCTGCTCTTCTAGGCAGCTCGCCTCATGACAATAGTGCAGCTACGATCCACGCTCACTTAGAAGACAGTGCTTTAGAGAACAAATTCGTCCAAATTGCATTTAAAGGGTGATGGTGGTCGGAAGAGCATCCATTCAGCAGAGCCAGTGTGAAGGCTACAGCATTGTCGTGACAAGCTGACTACTTTTTCAAGGTTGATAAGAGTAACAGTATGTATTTATGAGCGGAGCAGTTCAATGCCCTCAACAATTCCTGTCTAGCTTTATTTTTTTAGAAAAATTGCCAAGCTCTTGTGAAGATGGCCTCTTTTATGTAAGCATTTTAGCTTGCTGTCATTTAAAACCTCTGTCTGACTTCCACTAACACCAGTCCGTGGAGCCGGAGTGAACAAGAATGGGTGATTCAGCCCCTTTCTGCATGCTTTGCCTTCATAATCAGGCCTCTTTTTTTCACGCTATACCATCCATGCGCTTGGCACTCTTCATGGCTGCAGCTGAGCTTTGAACACACTGCATGCTTTGCCTTCATAATCAGGCCTCTCTTTTTTTCATGCTGTACCTTCCATGTGCTTGGCGCCCTCCATAGCTGCAGCTGAGCTTTGAACACAACAGAACAGGGAAAGCTCACTGGCAGTCGATAGGCGGGCTATCGCCCCTACGTAACATGGTGAGGCAACTGGTGGGAGTCTCAAGGAACAATACTGGGGGAAGATAACATTTGATGATTGTACCTGGGATGGCTTTGAAGCCTGAGCATGCATTTCCACCCATTCCAACTGTTCTTCACCCATTCCGAGCCGGGTTCGCTGGCTCAGTGCAAACTTGGCTGTATGCATGCTATGCTGGGCAGCCTCAGTGCCTCATAATAGCAGGAGCAAAATGGACGGCTGGAAAATCGTGAGGGGGTGCAGGCGTGCACCCCAGCAAGCTGCCTGGCCCCAAGCAGCAGCCAGCCAAGAGGAGGAGGTAAGTTTTCTCTGGATCAGGATGATGCAGGTGAAGGAGAGAGTGTTCCCTAGTGATCAACAGCTGGAGAAGGCAGGGTCAAGTAAAATGAAAGAATAGGAATGGGAAGGCAGGGGGGGGTCATCACCTGTCTTCCAAAAAAAGGATGTGTGGAAGGGTGCAATATTTCCCTTCTAGCCTCTCCTTTCTGTTTTCCAGAATTCAGACTCCAGGGAACACCAGGGAAGCTAAGTGGGAACCCAATTTGGCAAGTGATGCTCAAGGGCTTAGAGACTGTGAATCAGTCTTATGAGATGGTGGTGAGAAGTGCAAGGGGGAACTGATGCTATACCACTTATAAAAGTTGTTCTGAGCTGGAGCCCATGGGGTCACTGCCAGGGGACCCCAGGCCTGCTGGCATCACAGAAGGGGATGCTGGTGAACTGCACAGAGACCCAATGGATGCATGCCCTGGGGCCCATTGTTCCATTTGCAAGACATCAGAGGGTGAAGCCCCAGCACTGTGACTTTGAAGCCTTCTTCTTCCCAAAGTCATGCCAGCCATAGCACAGAGCCTGAATGTCCCATGGTTGGGTGGTGAGCCTTTGACCCACACCTGTCTGTTTTTGCCACCTTGAATGTTTGGACACCATAGGCAAACTTGGCCACCTCACTGCTCAGCCCTAATCCTGGATCACTTTAAGCAGAAGGTGTTCAAGGAGATATATTTGAAGACCCTACTGTTACATTGCTTTATTGCAAAGAATGTAGGGAAACTGAGGTGAGGGATGGAGTAAAGAAAGAGAGAAGAGAGAGAAAGGAGGAGGGAGCAGAGGGAAAGAAGACAAGGCAAAGCACAGTTAAGACAAGAATCAATGTTATTGAACCCATTGAAGGGAGAGATGTAGTCTTCTTGGAGAACTGGGGACAAGAGACAGAAAGCAATTAATGCAGAAAGAGGAATTGAAGAAAAAAAGAGCAATTAGTTCTGGGGGCTGGAGGAGGAATAATCAACTAGAGATTGGAAGGGGAGGGGATAAAGAAAGGAGGCAAGTATTTCAAGAGAGTTTAAGTGGAGCAGGATTGAGCAGTGAGGGATGGAGAACAGATAAGAAGAATACTGTACACCCACACATGCACACAATAGTGGGAGCAGAACACAGAGGTGCTCTTTAAGCTCCCCCCCTTCATTTCAGCCCAGAGGGAGCTGAGAAGGTAACTATGGGGTAGAGATGGGGGATCCAGGATCAAACTAGTAAGGCAAAGATGTATTTTCTCCAGCACAATGGATTTCTTCAAGTGCTTCAGGTGCAATTGGGCATGGAAAGAAAGCCCATGTTTGCTTGTCATGGACAACAAAGCATGCTAATTGCAAGATATGAAGGTGAGGAAAACCACATAGTATGACAGATATGTTTAAACTTTTAAAGGACAAAATACGACTGGGACTGCAGACCCATTTCCTGCAGCTCAATCCAATTCGTTGGCTTGTGAAGCCCACCAGGTTCAGCTGGAGTGGGTAAGTGAAGGTCTAGGGGATTTTGCAACCTCTGTCTTTCTGATCCAGGCCAAAAACTCATCAGGATTTTATGTGCATGGGAAAGGCATCATACATGTTGCCCAGGCTAATTGCTTTTAATTGATGACGTGCCAGGTGTGCAGTCTAAACCAGTTATCCTTTCCTCTTGTGCAGTTGTAAAACCCCAACAGGATGTTGGCTACTGTGATGTCATATGGATTTACACAGATGTAAATACCATTGCATGCTGTGGGCCTTGTCTCCTGAGGAATGGCAAACCACATTGCTTAAGAATATAAAGATATAAATAAACACATCTTTACTGGATTCAGCAAAATGCCAATCTAGTCCAACATCCCGTTTTCTCCCGTGCCCAACCGGATCTTACAGGCATCCTATAAGCAGGGTGTGAGTACTACAGCACCTATCTGATAGAATGCCTCCTTCCGATCAGATTTGCCCGCCGTGTAAGATCTTCACAAGCCAGGCGGTTGAGAGTTTCTGGCCCCGAGAGAGGCCCGAAAAATATCGATCGGAAATTGGGTCTTCCCGGCAGTAACCCCGCAACTGTGGAACAGTCTCCCGCCCAGCTGGAACAATGTTCCCTAACACAGTGCTCTTCAGATGTATGGGATTGCTGGAAGACAATATCTCTTTATTGGAGGAGAGAGGGGAATTTCAGTATCCTCACAATTAGTTTTGCAGGAGAAATCAACACCTTCACTGAGACTGGTTTTTCTATCCAGGTAAATACCTTTTTTCCTTTCCTAATCCTCCCTGTAGACATCCTGCTTCTAGGGGTTAAAGAGGGGAATGGTAAGATTTCTTTTCAACAAATAAAAGTTTTATTTTTTTTTCCTTTTCCCTCGTCCGTTGCTGAGTTGCCTTCCAGCTTAGACACGCTTCGTCAATAGCCTCCGGTGAGAAGTAACCACCACGACGTTCCCTGGCCTCCATCTCGCATGCCTCTTTAAACAACTTAGTAATTAAGAGCACAAGCTGTCAGCCATGTGCCTGCGGTAGGAAGGGGGAGGGGGTTTGGAAACCCAGACTGATCTTGCCTTGTATCTCCCATTCGTTAAGCGTTAATGAACAGAATGGTCTCAGGCTGCGTGACAAGGATGCATGGCTCTTTTCTCACCAACCTTGCCCTTCCATTCCTCACCCCCCCTTAGCATCCCCCTGAACCCCATGCTGAAAAGGAAACTTCCCACTGGCCACTTAAAGGGTGTTAATGAGGAACTGCTCATTAGCACCTTAATCAAAGTCACCTCGGTTATTAAGACACCAAAATCTGCCAGCTGTCCAGTCGGTGGGGAAAAAACACTAAAACTGTTCAGCGTTCCATCTCTCGTCACTTCCCCATCCACTTTCATGGCCTCCTTTTCGGCTTCGTTCTGCCTTTCATCACATCTTCCCTCTTTTTTTTTATGGATGCTTCCCTCCCATCTGTCTTCAAAGCAACAAGTAACGATTCACCTTTTCTGTTTTATAAAAGGGAACAGCGAGGCGCAGGAGGCTTGGAGACAGACTACTCACATGTAGTGCAGGTGAGGATTCTTATCAAATGCACGTGGCTGGATGCTCCGGAGCCCTGAATTCTTGATTGTCCTGAAATGAGAGATCAAGAAATAAGAAGGGTCAAAGATGACCCATTGTTCCAAGACCCTCCTTAGGCTCAATTTGTGGGGGAAGCCTTAAGACCCTTAAAAAATTTATAGAACCAAGACTCATGGAGTTGGAAGGGGTCTCGAAGACCATCGAGTCCAATCCCCACTGTTCAAGGCAGGAATCCAAACCAAATCAGATCGGACAGGTGATGGTCCAATTTATTTCTTGAATGCCTCCAGCGTTGGAAGTCAGTCATTGCAAATAACTTTCGTGTTACTGCTCATCAATTTTTCTTTGAAACATCTAAGACAAAACTAAAGTACCTTACAATCATAACTTAACAGGGCTAATGCCTCTCCCTTCAGCTCAACATGGTTACAATTCTAAAATGGTGGACAGAAGCTTGTATTTCAATGGCAAAACGTTGGCCAGCTCCATAGAAACTATTGATGGTAGTTGTGGAAGTTGAAGAGAGATCCCTATATGCTTATGGGCGAACATTGAGCTAGTAGGCCTTCCGAACAACGTGAGAAGGTTATGACTTAAGGAAGGAAGGCACCCCCTTGGTTCCCTTAGCTGGAGCCTTTAGTGGCTTAATGGTATAGCACATGCAGCTGAATCAAGCTTTCATTTGTACTAGAAGGGTCCAAGTGTTGGTGTGTTTAGAAGAGATATTTTCACACATGCCTGTACTTTGTGTGTGTGTGTGCACGCACGTGTGTGCATATGTGTGTGTGTGTGTCCAGAATTAATGGGTCCCTTTTCTGCTCATTCGTTGCCATGTTCTTTATGGAGGGACACCATTGTACAATGGTCTTTCCTTTTCTGTCCGATTTTCCCCTGACATTTTTGTATTTGTTTGTCCAAATTTGCCACTGTCCACACAAGAGATGGCCACAAACTCCACTTTGGAGGTTCATGCCAGTTCATGGGCATGGCAACACATGTGCAGCAGGTTCCTTTCCCCAGCCAATGACCCACTCACCAGTCGAAGCGTGCTCCTCTCCTCCTCTAGTCCCCCACAGCAGGAGAACGGCTTTCGCTGTCCTGCCTCCTCGTTCGAGTGGAGCTGTCCTGCCTCCTTGTCTGAATGGATGACCAGCCAAAGAGGAGGAGGAGAAGAGCATGTGCTCTCCATTGAGGTGGGAGAAGAGACCACGCAGCACCTATGGAGCCATGCATACAAACCAGCATGAACCTCCAAACTGAAGTTCGTGCCCATCTCTATTCCACACCTGCTGCATCCATGTATTTATGGATGGTTGATCAAATATCTCCAGTCTCATGCAACATCTGTTCTTGCTGCTAGCAACAGCGTAGTAACCAGTCCTTAATGCCTCTCCTTTATCAGAGAGGGATTTCCATTGAATCGCTCTCCACCTATCCTTTGAAGGAGCTAAGCAAGCAGGCAACATCCCACCCTCTTCAACTCCACGCCAGCACTAAATTTGCACAAGATCTGAGCAAGCATCTTAAGATGCTTACGTGGGGAAATCCTTTGGAAGACATTAACTTCTCAGGGTTAAATTTCAGGGAAGCTCAGCAATATTGGCTTCTTTTCTGCTGATCTAGAACCAGGTGGCAATAACTGCAAATTCTTCATATATATGGAGGTGACACAAAGATGTTGCATTTTGCTGATATAAGACTGAGGAACACTGACATTGCAAAGTTCTTCAGACCAATTAGCTTGGGGGCAGGGGCAGATGTTGGAGGACATGGTGATCTTCCAAGTACCCCATGCATGTTGGAGTTGACAGTTTGAAAATGGGGTCAACAGTAGCTCATGAAGCAGCCTGTAGGAAAGGGTAAGACAGACCGTCTGGGCCTAAGCTCCGGGTTGTCCAGTGGTAGAGAGGGGACCCATGCACAGTTATCTGCATTATGAGATCAACTCTAAGTTCAACACCTATGAATGGGCTACAAACTTGAGTGGGGGGCATTTGACTTCAGTAGGCTGCAATATAATTGACGTTAGCTAAACTCCCATGGCTAGTCGCAAGTAGAGGAACCCTGTTGAATCAATGGGATTTACAGAAGTACCTGTGGCTCAACAACTCATTTTATGGCCTTCTCTAGTTGGGACTAATAATGGGATTTAATTTTTTTTTCCCCATGTGATTTCTACATACTATGTATTTCTTTAAAATGGCACAAGAGTAGACTGCATGGGTGAACAGCTTCTTTCTGGTCAGCCGGCAACCATAGCTGGCTGGACAGCACCCCCAAACACAGATTGTCATAGGAACACTCAACACTCACAGTCTCTGGAGTCCTGTATACAGCTCCATGTCTACGGCGTGCAGCGTGTGCAAATTCTTCCAGAACTGTATGTGTCTGCAGAGGGAAGAAGAGGAAAAATGACTTTAATGTAACCAGATACCGCCATGAAAAAAATTACAGTGGCCTATGCCAAAGACAATAAGCAAGGATACCATGGACAATATTCATCATCCTCATATGACATTGTTTTCATCAGGACTCAAAGGAGCCCTATCTCAGCTTCTCTAGGCACCAGTTTTGTCCCGTCTGCATTTGCCAGGCATTCACGGGATTTCAACTGCTGTATAGCTCGGCGGTTTTGGTCTCTGGGTGCAGAGCCAGAAGCTGGGCATTCAATTCCCCCACTGCACCTCCTTGACAGGGGGCTGGACTTGATGATCCACAGGATCCCTTCTTGCTCCACCATTCTGATTGTTATTATCAAGAAGGGGGGGGGACCTTGGGACCCATTCATTCCATGAAAATTGATGTCAGTTGTTTGGGGAGAAGTGTTAGAGATCTTGCAAATCCGCCCACAGATGGAAGAGTATGAGGTTTTCCTTTACTGGTTATATTAAACCAATAGCGTTTTGCTCTGTAGCATAAAGCAGCTCTGCATACATACTGAGGACAAACAATGTGTGTGTTCAGCGACAACAGTTAGGAGGCTGGGTTTTAAAATGTCAAACAACAGTAATTAAGGGTGTAGGATTTAGCAGGTTCATATATGAATACATTAAAAACACTTTGGCTGCACAAACATTGCCAACTGCTTAATTTATTTCTACTATTATTTTTGAACATGTATTCGGAAGGGCTGAAAATGTGAAGGACCATCTCAGAAGACAGAAAGAGAGCGAGAGCGAGAGCGAGAGAGAGAGAGAGAGAGAGAGAGAGAGTCTGTATACATGCGTACATGAGGGCGTGGTCATTCCTCATGCAATATAACAAGAAATTCACAGGCTACCTTCGGACACTAATTTTCTATAAGCCTGACCTACCTCATAAGATTGGTGTAAGGATAACATGGAGAGGAGGAGAGCCATGCATGTTTGTAACAAAGCAAGGCAAAAATAAAGACCACCGATGGATCACATGACTTTGATGAAGAAGAAACAGAATTTCTTGGCTCAAGTCAGGAATCAAAATGGAGAGCATGACCAAGAAATCAGGAAGTTGAGACTTTGAAGAGCAGCTAATGAAGGAACTAGAAAAGGTTCTTAAGCAAAAGGATGTGTCACTGGGGACTTAAGGCCAAGGCTATACATAGTAGGATGTTCCCCATTACTGTGTACAAATGGAAAGCCAGGCAATGAAGAAAGCTGATGGGGGAAAATTAATCCATTAAAAATGTGGCATTGGAGGAGAGCTATACAGATAATCATGGACCACTGGGAAGAGAGATCAGTGGGGTTTAAATGAAATCAAGTCTGAAAGCACAACAGAAGCCGAAATGATTATACTGAGATAATCATATTTTGGACATAACAATGAGAAGTCAAGCCTCACTGGGAAAAAAGCAATTATTTTAGTAAAAGTAGAAGACAGTAGGAAAAGCAGAAAACCCAACATGAGATGGGTTGACGCAAAAAAGGAAGCCACAGCCATTAATTTGCAAGACTTGAGCAGAGCTGTGTAGAGCATGAACTATTTGGGCGCCATTAATCCATGGGGTTGCTGTAAGTGGGAAACAACCAGATGGTATGTGATGATAACACCACACCATCTTAAACCAAAAGATGTGTTTTTCTCTGGAACGCCTGTTTTCTCTCTTCTCTGCAGAGGTATGCATATTTAATTCACTGATTAATTGCCTAAGACCCATAAAATCAATCAGCATAGAGGCAAACCAGAAAAGCTAAGCTATTAGTGGGAAAAAAAAGGCATAAGGGAAGTGTTCTGGTTACAATAGGGAAAGCTTCGGACTTCCAGATGTTGATGAGCCACTGTTCCCATTGTGCCTCATCATTGAGCAGGTTCACTACCAGGCTGATGGAAATTGGAGTCCAATAAGATCTGAAAAGCATGGGTTCCCCAACCCCAGTTCTCATGATTTGCTTTTGATATCTTATTTTTGTTTGTCTTCTTGCTCACAGTCCACGCAAGGAAAACATCTGTCACCCACTCCCCTCCAGTCCGTCTCCTGGATCTTTGAATTTTCCTCCAATACCCTCCCCACCATCACCCGCATATCCATCCCAAACAAGAAAAGGAACGCCAAATCTGGATTTTAAATGTCTTAAGTGTTTACAACTGTCCCAGTATACTAGTGGTGGTGGCCACCCCCACCATGCTGCAGCCTTAGTACCTGCTCAGAGATGCCGGAAGCTGACACTAGCCCCATGAATGAAATGCTGAAAAGACATCTGCTTGAATACTCCTTGTGAACAGACTGGACAGTCTCTCTCCAAGGTGCTTAAACCATGATTTGGTACCTTTACATCCTTGGACAGAATCCTACTGGAATCTGCAGAAAGGATTACATAGGTTGCTGCATCTAATTGTGACTAATTCACTAGGTGTACCATCAGATACGTGTCCAAGCATGTGACCAAGACATGCGCTAGCCCCTTGTAGATTAGCCACCGTTAGCTACAGCAGGTAACTCTTTAGTGAGCCAATAAAGGTATGACTTAACCAAGACCCCAAGAAAGCTAAAAACATATCTCTGATTACAGCATAACGAAAGGTTGGAACAGGTGTAGAGGCACTGGCACCAACCAATAAAAGCAGAGGCCAACAATGTTGCCTCAATGTTGAGATTGAGAACAACCAATACAAACACCGCCGCAAAGTCATTACAAGAAAGTTGTTGGGGTCTATTGCATGGGAAAGTAACCTACATCCCACTAAATGCTATTGGACTGGAGCTGTCATCAAGAGCAGAGTTAGTGGTGAAGAAAAAACATCTGGAGAACAATGTCAAGCAACATCTGGAGCTCAAACTGGAACCACCCCGGGTCTATTGCCAGCTACCCAAACTTCAAAACACAAGGCATTCAGAAACAATCCCACAAAGGTCATCTTAAGCAGCAGGCAGTTTCCTACAGGAGGGGGCAATCCACTCAGTAGGCAGATCCTAGACTGCTCAGCCTGAGAACGTGAAAACCTGGTAAACACGAGATCTTAGATCTCCTCAGAAAGAAGATCAGACTGGCAGCCTACCCAGCTGAGCATCATATTACCCATAGCAGAAAACCCATAAACAGGATGTGAAGGCTTTGGATCCTTCTTGATGCTATTCCACAGTCATTCATAATTCTTCTCTGTAGCGCATAGCCATAATGATCAAGATGGGCATGAACCAAACTACAAATTGGGAAAGAAAGAAAAAAAACACAAACAGGGCTGGTTTGTGGTTCATTTCATAGTTTAGTTCAGGGAGCCTGTTTTGCCAAAATGAAATGAAGCGCTAAACCGTTTCTGCTCAACGCAAAACGGATGCCCTGCCCTCTTCCTGCTACGCCAGTCGCCTCTCCACCTGGTCCCCCCGAACTCTTTCTCTTTGTCCTCCACCATCTTTAGAGACAGCGAACCGGCTTCCCTTCCGGGAGCCTGGCTGGTTGTCTCTGTGCATGTGCATCAGCTGACATTCATGCGCATGCACAGAGACAGACAGCCTCCGAACTCTTTCTCTTTGTCCTCCACCATCGTTAGAGACAGCGACCCGGCTTCCCTTCCGGGAGCCAGGCTGGTTGTCTCTGCGCATGTGCATCAGCCGACATTCCATGCGCATGCACAGAGACAGACAGCCCGGCTTCCCTTCCAGGCGCTGGGCTGTCTGTCTGTGTGCCCATGTACGCCTTCAAAGCACACCACCAAAACAATGGCTGTTGCTACATTTGCGGCAACACCTTCCATAATGTCATCACACACTGTGTGGAAAAATTACTTGTGTTGTTGGTCCAGAAACTCCCACCCATTAGCATGATTTTATGTTTTCAGTTCTAATCTTATGAAAGAAGGGGAAAGGCTCATTTCTCCTCAGGGTATCCCCCACCAGATGCAGTTTTCCACAACCCAAACATATCACTCTTAAACTACTATAGTCAACACATGATAGACAAGCATGTCTTGATAGCTGTCTATCAAGGCAAAGGAGACTTTGTGTTCTCCTGTCTCAGTGTTTTGCTGCAACCATACAGATGCCTCTCTGTAGACCAGGGAAATGTCTACTTGATGTGGTAGGTATTCAACAGTAATGTTGGTAAACATCAAATTTGTAGGCTCAGTTTTCCTGTCGGTGAACAGCGTCTTTGGTACAGCAATGTCAGCCCTCCGTTATTTTAAGTGTGCCTTTATTACTGCAATCTCTCTGAGCCTCGGGCAATCTGACAGGCATGTTATAAAAGAAGGAAAATGAAAATAGATCTGTCACTTTAGCTTGACTCGTTATTCTGGGGATATCAGAACTGGACCGACAGCTTCAGAGAGACTCTGGCATCATGTTTATCAATATGGCAAGAGAGCACCCACGCAGGATTACAGCAAGACTCCATCACTTTAGCCATTGCACCCTTTTAACAAGCCTGAGGCCAGAACGAAAGGGACCCCCCCACACACACACACACCAAAAAAAAGAGGTGTGAAAAATCTTACCCTCCCACTTTTCTGCTCTTTTCAAATAGAGTCAACGGGAGACAATGTCAGAGGCTTCACTGGAGTTGAAACAAATCTCTTAGATTTCTTTTATTTTATTTTAGAAAGTGTCCAGTTGCATTATATTTTCAGTGGAAAATGTTCTCTACAATGCTACGGGCCTCAGCATCTCCTTGTGTAAAATGGGCAGAAAATACTACGCATCTGTCTGTCAAGCAAAAGCGGACACTATCCGAGGGTGAGAAATAGGGATGGATGATCTGGTTTTCTACTTCCATTCCATGACTGTTTCATATCTACTCAATTGGAAGTCTGTTCTGTCTAATTTCTGGAGAGACAGAAGGAAGCCAAGGGAGGAACTGAGACCATACCTTTGACAGACGCATGAGCTGAGTTGTAAACACAGGGAATCGAAAAAGAGCTCAGCCTCATTATCCAGGAGACGATCTGCTCAAACTGAGGAGCCTGGCCAGACT